ATAGAAAGCAAAGCTGCACTGGAATGTCGTCTATATTGCATATTGGTATAAAAGCTTACCACTGTATTTCATTCAAACAATTATTATGGTTCAGTCCTTGGATAAGATTTTAAGCATATTTTTCAACAGAATATTAACCATACTTTCACAAAGGATACAAAATTGCTGTGTTTCAAGTTCACTATTATTCAAAATCATACCTTGAAGACTCTAAAAGTCGTCTACCTAGTTCCTTTCACAGTTTTTTGATGCTTACTATGATCTCACCAGTCCCCACAGACAGTTTTTATAGTTTGGTCACAGTTCGAACTTTATTAACCCTGTAGCTTTGATGGTTACATTAATCATGTAAAATTCTTGAAATAATTAACAATTCCAAAATACTCCTTGTCCAGCCTTGCATTTCCAAAATGTGGTCTGGCCTTGTTGCTGTCAATTTTAACGGAGATAGAAGGGTGTCCCATGAACATGACAGTTGGTGAATCGTTTAAAATGTCTTCTTACAGAGTTTGTTATATGGTTTTTAAACAACAAAAAGAAAAATAATATAATACTATATGGCAGCCATATTTTAGAATAATTAGTTTTAAAGTAGAATAAATTTGAGTAAAAATAAGAAGACATTCAAAACTATTCACAAATTGTCATGTTCCAGGGAACACCCTGCATCAAGAATTTTGTTCAGATTTCAATTAATTAAATTGAAATTCTTCGTCTCTTTAGTAATTTGTTCTTTGGTAAGATCTGAACAAATTTGAACCGTCTATTCCATAGATTTACGATAGATTGCGCATTAGACGACATTTTTCATCTTGAAAGATATAAATGTACAGAGATGTTTTAAAGATATTCCTATTATATAGATTAACTAGGTCGGTTGTGAACATTGGCTGTTCTTATGTCATTGAGTACTTGTGGTGTACATGAGTTCTGTAGAGAGAAATTTAAGTTAGTTTAGTCCTTTTCATGTCTTTCTTCAGTTCTCATCAATATGATATATTGCTCAGTGAAATAATTTGATATTCTCAAAATAAATTTCACTCCTGAGTGGTTTAATAATTATGAAATCCATTAAAACACCAAACCACCCCGCTTATCATAGAAGTCCACTTTGACCCCTAGAAGTTTGAGTTCGCGGACTGTATAATTCTTGGTGATTTTGCGTACATAAGCTACTTATGTTTATTTATCTATGGTCTATTCTTGCCAAATCATTAAGTAAGCCGTTTAAAGACTCTATGAATGGCAATAAAGACCACATTCGAGGCATAAGACTTAATTTTAACTTGATATATTTGAGGAGTTCTTAACAGTTTCATCTTGTAAGGTTAACTCTGTTTTATGTATTGTAGAGACAATCACAGACTAACCATACTGCGTATATGCTCTACTTGGATAGGCTGAGCAGGCCTATAGTGTCCCGACAAGCCATGCTAAAGTTGCATGAACGGTTTTGGACTGCCATCTAACGGCCACTTGTTCCATATAATACTTACTCAGGGGTTAGGTTTTACAATTCAATATATAACATGAAACATCAAGTTTATGAATTTAGTATATTTTTGAAGATTTAGTATTTCGTATCCAAAGGCTCCTTTAATATCAATGAATATAGGTGTCTGCTGATTAAGGTGGTTTACAGTACTTGTACACAATAGAACCTGCTGTGGAAAATATAGCTTTTTCTAGGTTTCAATTGATCTATTATTCTCTTATCTCTGCATTAACCTAATCAGACTAACCCTTCGTAATACACAATCTCTAATGAAAGTATCTTTATTTGATAATGATATATATTAGATATAGAATTACATGTCATCAGATTTTAAGAGAATAAAAGCTGATGATGACAATGAAATGACGGGATATCACATACACGAATAAAATTCATAAAAGTCAAAAGAAAACATAAAATAAAATACTTATTTTCACTTTCAGTGACATTTTATTTACTTGAAACAGTTGGAATTCAAGATTACTGCTTTTTCTTACAAAAGCCCACGCAATATTGTGATTTAAAACGAAGACGACTTTTAAAATATATCTTAATTTATTAAACTGTTCACAAGGATGGGTCAATCAGAAGGTGCAACGCAAGCATGTTACCAATAAGAAATCCCAAAACCTAATGTGTATCCATGTATTAAAATCTGACAACCCACATTAAAAAGCATTAATCTCTGAAATGGATATTTATTATGGCGTCATATAAATTGGACTAATGATCGATTAGACTAATGTCCATTTGGACCAACGTTCAAAAACCGGTTTGTGAACAGCTGACTTTAAAGTTTTACGTTAGTCCAATCGGCAATATCTCCATTCGATATAGTTTCGTTCTTATTAGATAACTTGACAGAGAAAGACGACATTTAAAAATGAAGAACCTTTTTCGCGATTTCCCCCCCGTAATAACACATATTTGAACATTGCTATTTCAGATAATCTGAGTCAAAGCGATATTTTAGAAATGAAAGCAACAAGTACAATCACACAATATTTGAATTAAAAACCTTAGAATTCCAACTGTATATAATGGTAGCAAATAAAAAATAAATAAACAAACAAATAAATAAGTAAAAATTGACTAATTATCGTAATATCACACTCGGCAGTTGTATAAAGTTTGTACTTCACGGCATTACTTAAGTCTATCCTAAAATCTAAAAAAATATATTTAAAATAAGATTAATAAAGGATTTTAAAAATAATTAAAAAGGAGTGAGAGGGACGTAATTTCAAGTGTACTCCTCCTATTATGTTTTAAACAAAAAATAAACATCAAATCAAAAGTTTTCTATTTTAAAAAACTTTTCCCTAAATTTTTTTATTTTCCGCCAAAATAATCTAATTTCTCCTAATTGGCAATAATAACAAAATCAAAATACGAGAGAGGGGTTAATTCATGACCTAAACATACGGTGTTGGTACCTGGTTGGTATGTTATAATGCATTTACCAGGAGTGTAAAGAGTGTACAGGATTACGCAGAATTACGCAGAAACACGCATTCTGATGGTCATCGTTTTGAGGTCCGTGGATTTTTTTAATTTAAAGTTTTTGGTTTTATAAATCATCTTAAAGAATCTTAAATATTGATCCAACAGAACAATTTTATTTTCTTTTTTAAGATTATTTTTTCTCTAAACAAAGATATTAAATGATTTTTCAAATAAATTATCAATATGAATATGAAAAATCTTTTTGCTTGACCTTTTTGATCACTGGACTTTGCATAATAAAAACAAACTATCGAGCATACAATTTAGCAGTAGGATACGCGTCTTAGATCCACTTCAAGCTCTGTAAAGCCCAAAAACCATGAATGTCTAAGGGAGTGAAGACATGGTAGTTGAGCTGAGAGTGCAGTATTGAAGAAATACATAAGAGTAATAAAACGAAGAGGTAAAGCTTAGCTCAGATGCATACAACCGACCTCGCTATAATTAATTGATTAATAGAGCGGTCGGTTGTATACATCACGAAATGTTTACGTATCTAACGCTGTACACTTGCATTAAAAAAAACTACGACAAATGTTTAAGATTCTCTACAATACTGCACTTTTGGCTCAACTACCATGTCTACCCGGTCACTCCCTTTAATAACGGACTCAAAACAAAGTCAATCCTTAGTTACGCAGGATTGCGTATACATTCGTTGATTTGCTCTATGCAGCACACTATAAATTCCCTAAAAATATCCAATATTATTTTGTGAGAAAACAAAAGCATCTAAGGTATAAGGTATACCTTCAAAAGATGAGCCTGTAAAGACGACCTAAATCTCTGATAATATTACGATCAGATATAATGCTTCTGTCTGGAACAATGGCTTATTCATTGATTTTGCAAAGAAATGAACAGTTTGAACTGTACATGGAATAATATATCAAATCAAATAAACATTACGAGTTCTATAAAGCATCCTTTGTAGGTAACCATGTACAATGTTAACCATGTTAAGTTTTAAGTTTTGCTAAACAAAATGATAAGTAGAAATATGTAGAACACCAAGATACAAATTACATTTAATTGCATTAATCTGCACACGTAAGTTTGCACTAATAGATGGAAACCAATTATGCAACTTTTATTGTAGAAAAAAGTGAAATGAAAAAGGAAAAAATGAGCCCAATATATGGATTGGTTACCTAGTGTACACATCCCCAAGAGCTGGTCTACATATTGGACAGTATTGGTTCACTTCACTTATAGAGAGAGGATCAGAGTTCTAGAGTAAAAATACATATTCTATTGGACAGTGTTGGTTCACTTCACTTATAGAGAGAGGATCAGAGTTCTAGAGTATAAGAACATATTCTATTGGACAGTATTGGTTCACTTCACTTATAGAGAGAGGATCAGAGTTCTAGAGTATAAGAACATATTCTATTGGACAGTA